AATCAAAACGGATCCATGCCGACTATCCACCACCCATTTTCGTCTATTTTAGTGGGGATTGGGATGCTCACCGAGGGTACGGGGTTTTGACCCATAGCCAATTGAAGAAGGCTCTGGAATTTGTTTATTTAGGCGAAAGGTACCCGTTTCAGGGTGAGTTCAAGGGAAACCCAAATTGCAAATCCCCGCCTTTTCTGGGGCGCTTTGGGGGAAGAAGCGAAGACGTGAGCCACAACTCCCCAAATTTACGCCGGAACGCCGGTGGAAAAGGCGCACGCGGGCTCATTCCCCATGTTGGCCGCCTGAGGGAGCCACACCACGGAACTCTCTCACCAGAAAGACCCAACGGCTACCATTGGGGTCACTGGATGTCCCCTTCAGTAGAGGCAATTCACCAGTTTCCATTGAAACTGCCCACTTTTAAAGGCTCCAAAAAGGGAAATGGAGAAACCTCTCCCTTGGATGGCCAATGAGTGTGTGGCTTGCTTTGCCCCGGTGAAGTCCTTGCAGTAAGATTTGCCCATGCAAACCCGCTTGGACATCCTGCTTGGGCTCTAAGAACAAGTCAATCAAAATGGGACTGGAACAGGACAAGTAAAAATAACTAGCCTAGCGACAAGATCTTGGCTCGCTGTAGTGGTTCTCTGGGCCCTTCTCCCACCCAGAAAAAGTGTCCCTCCAGGAAAACCCATCCTCTGGAAGCAAATGTGTCCAGTGGTGACAGGTTCCCTGTAGAAACCAAAAGGAGGAAACAAAATGTTCTTAAGCAACTGCATGTTTCATTTTCCAGGCCACGATTCATGCAGAAAGGAGAAGATCTCCCTTTCCTTACCCAACAACTGAAAGCTATGGGGTCTCTGCCCAGAGGGGATTGGGGATACCAGTTGGGCTAACTTTTTGTTGACGGCACTACCTTGAGGGCGGGGGGGATTAGTCAGAGTGCCAAACCTGTAAAATACATGTGCGGTTTCCAGATAGCTCACTTTTCACGATTTTGGAACGGCTACCCTTGGGACGAAAGGAACTAGTAGTTAGAATATTGCATGCTTCGGCAAGAGTATTGGCAATAGCTTTGGCAATATCTTTGGCAATTCAAACATGTTTGGTGTGAATCTCCATCGGTGGGCATTTTTGTGGGGAGTCATGTCCACATGTCACCTTTGAGCCCGGCGACTTTTAATCTTCGGGCTTTCCGGGTCAAAAGGAACGTGTGGACATCGGGGACGGCACTCAACCTGGTACCTTTCAACTATCTTTTGGCAGTCGACCGGCAAAAGGGGGCATCCTAGATCACAGCTTCTTGACAAATGAGCACATGGGCATGTGTCAAACTAGGGGAAGCCCCCCCCCAATAGCAGAGTTCCCTCGAAAATGCCAAGATGAGCTGTTCCCCATTGAAGGCACCCACAGGTCTGCTTCACTCTTTTGGCGCGTCTTTAACTTCGGGAACCCCACGTCATAAAGGCAGCTTTCCCGTTCGCTTCCCCGACACAACCCCGCCGAACAAATACTTGCTGGTGCGATAGGTAGGGAATGAGGGAATGAACCTGGGGATCTCCATAAAGGAAACCACCAGTCGGATGGTTCAGAAGGGTCATTCTCTCCTAGGTCCTCCAGTAGTCAGGTTACAATAAGGGTACCAACTTTTTTTCGGTAGTCTATTTTAGTAGGGGAACCCTCCCTCAAAAACGGTTAAAAGGGCGCTACTGGGGGACCTAGTCTCATTCCCTGAGCGCCAGGGCAAGTGACGCGTCCGTCGCAGTTTCACCGGGGCGGTGGCCACTTGTGCCACGGACTCCCCGTTGGACGAGGTCCTGGGTCGGCTTTGGCGCTTGTTGGGTGCAGAGATCCGCTCCATGTCTCACACAAATGAAACCATACGCCCAGGTCCGATCGGGCTGGGTATGAACCCGAGACCGGTCCCACTCGTGATGCTGGCGCCCCAAAATCCAAAATTCCATCGATGGGACACTTACAGAAAGTGTTTCCCCTTACGGAAAGGCGCCTGAGGTCTTGCCAGGGCGGCCCTGGAGCGAGGCGACCAAACGCAGCATCTTCATCCGTGGAGTTTGGGAAAAGAGCCGCCCTTGTGTGGTTGCTGTCCAGCGGAACCGCCCTCCAACAAGGAACTGTGAGGTCCCTCAACACTGTAACTGCGGATCCCCTGCTCGCAGTTTAAACTGTTGGCGGGTTAAGTATGGAAATCTCCACTAAACCCTTAAAAACAAAAAAACTAAGGGGACGGCCAGGAACCGCCCAGAAAAGGGGGGGTACCAACCGCAAAGCAAAAAACAGGAACCAGGAACCAAAAGAAAACGGACCAGCGAGTCGCCGAATCGCGGGCGAGCCGAATCCTCTTTCGCGTCTGCAGGAAGTGTGTGGGCGAGTCTCCCTCCGCCTGGCTGGTCCGGGCGAAAATCGAAAGGTCCTGGATCGCCAGTTGCGATCGTTTTTTTTCCATCCACTGTACCCCAAAAAACAGCCACAATGACTGAAAAGCACAGCAACTTGGCGACCCAGGGTGTGTTTTTTTCGTCCCCCCCCCCAGCACCCTCCGACTACCGTCTAAATTTTATTTTTGGAACTACCGGGTATTTGGCAGTACTTCCGAAAATGTATAAGAGACAGTAGATCCCCTATCTACGGTTGTTTCACGTTGTCCCAAACACTAAAAAACAAGCCCACGGGCTGACACGGTGACACGGGGTGACACGCAGGGGACACGGGCTGACACGCAGGTTGTGCTACACGTGTGCGACGCAGGGTGACACGGTGACACGAAGGTGACACGGGGCGACACGGGGTGACACACAAAAACTACTGTTGTTCGCAGCGATCTACTGTTCTTCTAGCATACTGACACGGGGGCGACACGGGGGCGACACGGGGTGACACGGAGTGACACGGGGTGACACGCTGTGAGGCACTTGCTGCACTTGCTGCCACCCCTTGATTGCTACCACCCCTGCTACGGCATCTCCCCGTTGTGAGCAGTAGCTAGCAGTAGGTAGAATATGGGCATCTCACAAATAAAATTAAAGGGCCGGATAACCCCACAAGTCTATGCTTATTGAAGTATGCGACACTTGCATCTGCCGAGCAGCGAATAATCCCAAATCCGAGACATGCAAAGACCCTCACATGCAAAACCTTCACGCAGTCAGCTATGTCGAAAACTCTCAGCACTTTGTTTTTCGCTCTGGCAGATCGAGGGGTCGCATGTTTAACAGATGGCTTGAAGTGCCAACGCGTCAGGCGCAGCATGTATCTGCCAGCCTGGCCCCATGCATCCTGCGCTGTAAGGCGCTAAGTACTTCAAGACGAAAGCCTTCCAAGAGCGGAACCCCATTTCTGCGGGCTTCTTTGCATTGCAGCTGGTTCTACAAGCGCATATAGGTCGCCATCGCGCGCGCGACAACACCCCAGCCCTTTAAACAGCTCCCAAATGCTGCCCCTGTGAGTGAGTGAGTGAGTGAGTGAGTGAGTGAGTGAGTGAGTGAGTGAGTGAGTGAGTGTGAGTGAGTGAGTGAGTGAGTGTGTGTGAGTGAGTGAGTGAGTGAGTGAGTGAGTGAGTGTGTGACTGAGTGTGTGTGTGTCAGTGTGTCTGAGTGAGTGTGTGTGAGTGAGTGAGTGAGTGTGAGTGAGTGTGAGTGAGTGAGTGAGTGAGTGAGTGTGTGTGTGTGTGTGTGAGTGAGTGTGTGTGAGTGAGTGTGAGACAGTGAGTGTGAGTGAGTGGGCGGCGGGGGCGGCGGGGCGGGCGGCGGACGGCGGGTCCGGACGGCGGATGGCGGGCGGCGGGCGCGGAGCGGTAAAAGTAAGAACCCCACACAAAGATGTGGGGAAAAAAAGCCGAGGCGCGGCCGACAACCTAAGTGGCTGCAGCAAGTAAATGTAAGTTTCCCTTTGTGGATCGAGTAGGAAGACACTTGTGCTCAACGCATGGCTAAAGTGCGTGACTGGCTCAGTGCATGGCTTTTTCTTCTTTTTTTGCTTCTTCAGCTTAAAGTAATGCTTCTCAATCAAAAAGCTGGCCATGGGAGTAGGCGGCGCAAAATGAAGCAAAGAAAAAGCATCTACGGGCTGTGCCAAGCGCTCGACCTCTTGGCCGCGGATGGCATGTGGTCTCTCACCGTGCGAACGCTCTTTCCCGGCGTCCACTCAGGCTGGAAGAGAAGCACGTCCTGGTCTTTCTGGGAAGTCAGGACGAACTGCCAGTAGGTCACGAAAGATGCCACAGCTTCGTTGGCAACAGGGACATGCCAAAGAACACCCCACTCGCCCGCGCTCTCGGTCTGCATGATGACAACTTGGTGAACTTCTCCTGGGCGGCCTCGCAAGATCCAGTTGACACCGGAAGCCGGCCCAGCCGCGCGCAGCTTTGCTCGAACTGGCTCGCCTTGCTGGGCTGGCGCAAGCAAGCAGTCGACAGAGCGCTTCACTCGCATGGCGGAGGCCGACTGTGGATCTTGTTGAAGAGCTTCTTCGTGCGGAAGCTGGACGTCGTTGAAGGCAACGAGCACCCGCGCCGTCGAAGCGTCCAAGAGCCCTGCGCGAAGCAGACCCAAGTCGTTGTCCACTTGGAGCACATCCAGAGACGCGACAGGGCAGCCTTTGCCAAGAGCACAGCGCGGCAAAGACAGCGCGACAAGTCTTCTGCGGGCTTTTGTGGCTCCAAGAATGGCTCCAGATGCCTGCACTCCAGCTCCAGGACCTGCTGGTGATCGTTCTCGCGGAACGTCAGCTTGCAGAGCCACTGCGTGCTGCGCAAAGCATCGCGCAAGGTAGCGCGCATGTCGCCTGTGTCGGCGAGTGGCTCCGGCAATCGGTGGTTCTGTGCCTGCAAGACCGCCGTGAGAAGGTCGTGGTAGAGCACCATGGAACATTGGCAGTCAGAGTCAGCAAAGGCGGCTCGCACAGCCATGCGTGGCTCCAGGGCAGCATCCGCATGAGCCTAGCAGACACAAAGGAAACTTACGTGCTTAATGATTATCGGGGCTCGTTTAGGCAACAGTGGACACGAAATCAGGCAGACCAGCGCAGGCTGCGAGAAGCCCCGCCTGACAAGGCGCTGCCTTTTTGAACTTGCTGCAGGACTTGAGGACCCACTCATCCACGGAGCTGACGCCCATCACCTGCAGCCCCCAGACCTTGAAGACAGTGTTCATCTGCCGCAGGTGGCCCGGCACAATGGCAGCCACCAGCGCGCTCAGGGTGCTTGGCACGGCTTCGCACTGTGCCCAGTCTCGGATGGGAACTTCGGTCAGCATCCTGCAGTCTTCCGCATTCCGCAGAGCGCCTCGAATCTCTGCCGCCTTGTCGGGCGGACAATCCAAAATCTGAGTAGCGCGCCAGCTACCAAGCTCCCAAGATCCCTCTTTTTTCTTCTCCACCAAGACTTGATACAAGAGGACGCACTCACCAGGGCCCCTCGCCGCCAGCATGCCCACTTGCTCTCGCCAGAAGGCACACCGAACGCGCGTGCCCTCTTGCTGCACGACTGCGTTGCATACCGGAACTCTGCCAGCTGCCGTGTCCCTCTCAACCGTGCCCGGGTTCTCCTCAATCTGCACCGCGACGCAGATCTGCTGCCTTTCCTTCACCCGGTCCAGAGAACGAAGCGGCACCAAGGGATGCAAGACTGGCACGTTCGGCCAAGGCAAAGCGTCCAGCTTCTGCACAATGACATTCACACCCACCGTGCCCTTCACCCGCAAGTGATACGGCAGCCGTGAAGTCGAGTAGTTCTGCCCAGCCGGAATGTGCGTCGCCCCAGCAATCGAAATCAAGTCCCCCTGGGCGAGCTTCTGTTTCAGATGGCCCGCCTGCTCCCCCCAAGCTTCCACATAAAGCACCTCGTTCACGCTCTCGGCGCCAGCAAGATGGATCTCCAGCTTCAAAGTAGCCGAGTCTGGCGTCTTCTTGCCCTTGCCGCCTTTGCCTTGCTTCGGCGCCGCGGCATTCGCAGCGGAAGCTTTGCACTTGATCTCTTGTTCGGTGAGCATCACGACCCGGCCAGCCACAGCTGTGCCTTTCTGGCCCGTGTACTCGGAAGGCTTCAAAAGAAGCGCCATGCGTCCTGCAGAGCCGCCTACGCCTACTAAATACACCGCTTGGCTTGAGGTTAACATCAACTAACTTGCAACTTAACATGCAAGTTACTCATGTACACCACAAGTTGGCTAAGTTCCCCCAGCTTCAGGGTTCACATACAAGTTAGCTGGGGAGAACTTAGGCAACTTATGCAACTTAAGAGGGGGAACTTACCGGGGACTTACGGGGAACTTACGGAGAACTTACGGGGAACTTACGAACACTGTGGATTTTGTTTTTTTGAAATCCATGGCCGCGCGAAGCCTCCATGAAAAGAGGACAAAGCAGACATTCTGTGTGTCGCATGGAAATTATGTGTTTTCTTGCTAGCGTAGGCCGTTTTTCATGTCTGAGGTAGCATTTGGTCATGTTTGCGGGGGCTTTCTAGCGCAGCCATCTAGTGCCCTTTTGTGCTCTTATGTTAAATATATTTATAGACTATATATATATATATATTGTTGTGATGCGGCATGTACGTATGGAAATTATGTGTGTAAGTGCTCTGTGTGTAGGACTTATATGTATCCTCGAAGTCCCAGTTCGGGGCTTTTCCCGTCTGTGCGTCTGACGCGCAGTGAACCTCAAAGTGAGCCGGGCCGAGAAAGTTGGCCGACATTTGGCCGACATTTAGGCCAGGCAGGTCTGTATGCTAACATGTAGGCCGACATTGAGCAAACCATGCGCCGGCCAATCCCGGCCGACATTGGCCGACATTTGGCCGACATCGCATGCGTATCCACATACACATGTTTAGTTTCATCCGCCTTGCCCTGCCCCCGTAGCAGTTTGGCTGTTTTGGTTCGTGGTTCCCGCCCAGCTGCTGTAGGAGCGTGATGTCGGCAACTCCAATGGTGACCGAGCGCACATGCCGTCTTTGCGGAGAGAAGGTGCAGGACCACGCCCAGCTGGTGGCGGTTTCAAGACCTTGAGGCGACCTGCTTGCATTGAAAAAAAAGCGCTTGCGGCTAATCTTTCCGGTGAAATTGTCAAAATGCTGCTTTCACTGCTTCGCGGTCTGCAGCTGGCACGTGGCTGTCTGCTTTTTCAGTACTTGCTTTCTTCTTTGCTGCCCGTGCGTGTGTGGTTTTCAACGAAAAACATGGGGCGCGCGGTGAACTTACGGGGAACTTATAAGTAACTTATAAGTAGCATTTAAGTCCCCTAAGTTAACTTACAAGCAGTCATGTAGAAGTAACTTATAAGTTCCACAACTAACTTATAAGTAGCATAAGTCCCCCCGGTGTATTTAGTACGCTAGTTGGAGACACTGCAGAAATAGGAAGCACATATAATCATGCAGCCAGTAATCTGCTTGTCGAGTTGATAAATGTTGCAACTTCTCAAACAAACATCGCTCAGCTTTTTTCCTCACACATCGTGTTCGAAGCTCCGCTTGTCACAAGATGTTGCCGCATGTCAGAGCAGCAAAAAGCCATAAAGTGGTGCACTTGATCTCTTGTTCGGTGAGCATCACGACCCGGCCAGCCACAGCTGTGCCTTTCTGGCCCGTGTACTCGGAAGGCTTCAAAAGAAGCGCCATGCGTCCTGCAGAGCCGCCTACGCCTACGCTAGTTGGAGACACTGCAGAAATAGGAAGGACATATAATCATGCAGCCAGAATCTGCTTGTCGAGTTGATAAATGTTACAACTTCTCAAACAAACATCGCTCAGCTTTTTTCCTCACACATCGTGTTCGAAGCTCCACTTGTCACAAGATGTTGCCGCCTGTCAGAGCAGCAAAAAGCCATAAAGTGGCGCGCGCGCGCGTTTGTTTGCCGATTTGTTTGTTTGTTTGTTTGTTTGTTTGTTTGTTTGTTTGTTTGTTTGTTTGTTTGTTTGTTTTTGTTTGTTTGTTTGTTTGTTTGTTTGCTTGCTTGCTTGCTTGCTTGCTTGCTTGCTTGCTTGTTTGTTTGTTTGTTTGTTTGTTTGTTTGTTTGTTGGTTGGTTGGTTGTTTGTTTGTTTGTTTGTTTGTTTGTTTGTGCTTGTTTGTTTTTGTTTGTTTGTTTGTGTGTTTGTTTGTTTGTTTGTTTGTTTGTTTGTTTGTTTGTTTGTGTGTGTGGGTGTGTGTGTGTGTGTGTGCACCGGCGCGCGTGCGTGCGCGCGTGCATGCGCAGGCGCGGTGCGTGCGCTCACGCGCACGCGTGCGAGCCGTGCGCGCGTTGGCGCGCGTGCGCGTGCGCCCATGTGTACCGCGCGCGCGTATACGTGTGCGGCACGCGCGCACGTGCCGTGCGTCTGCGCGCGTGTCGTGCGCGTGTTCACGAGGAGTGAGACTCGAAATGCGCATTGTGGTGACCGTATGTCTTAGCAGCGAAGAGTATACCATAGCGTATGCAATCACACTGGCCTCTGACTCGCATGAAGACAAAGACTGTGTTGGCCTGACTGCCCACAAAGAACACCGTAGCCTTGCAACGACCAATGCTGAGATTAAAAAGACATGCGCATGGTGAGCACTGCCATGAGCTGCCTCATCCCTCGGAGCTGCACCAGAGCGCCTGCAATCAGAAAGCAACGGGAACGAAGCAGCGCCCAAGCTCCGCGCAGCCTGGACAAAGCTTGACGTCTGTCCTGACGGCCTGCAGCGTGTCAAAGACTGTGTATCTATCTTGTATACATGCGGGATGAAAGCGGACTGTGGCCACGCAAACACACACCCGTTGCGGGAAAACACTGCGCCTGCCACGAAACTTGCAAGCCATGTCCAAAGTGCTGCGCCTGTCACGCAGATTGAGCCCCCGAGCCGCGCGCTCGACAACATCCAGTCCCTTTAGGCACCTACCAAATGCTGCCCCTGCCACGCAAACACACACCCAGATGCAGAAAATAATGCGCCTGCCACGAAATTTGCAAGCCATCTCCAAAGTGCTGCGCCTGTCACGCAGATTGAGCCCCCGAGCCGCGCGCTCGACAACATCCAGTCCGTTTAGACACCTACCAAATGCTGCCCCTGCCACGCAAACACACACCCAGATGCAGAAAATACTGCGCCGGCCACGAAAACTGTGCCCCGTCTCCAAAGTGCTGCGCCTGTCACGCAGATTGAGCCCCCGAGCCGCGCGCTCGACAACATCCAGCCCCTTTAGACAGCTGCCATATGTTGCCCCTGCCACGCAAACACATACCCAGATGCAGAAAATATTGCGCCTGCCACGAAATCTATGCCCCGTCTCCAAAGTGCTGCGCCTGTCACGCAGATTGAGCCCCGTTTAGACACTGAAACTACAAAATGCTGCCCCTGCCACCAAACACTACACCCAAACAGACACCAAAAAAAATACCCAGACAACCGCCCCAAATACCCCCAATAAAAAGTAACACGTAACAGAATAAATGCAGAAAATACTGGCGCCTGCCACGAAATATTGCAGCCATCTCCAAAGTGCTTGCGCACTGTCACCAGATTGAGCAGGAACCCCCGAGCCGCGTAGCTCCGACAACATCTAGTCCCTTTAGACACCTACCAAATGCTGCCCCTGCCACGCGAACACACACCCAGATGCAGAAAAAACTGCGCCTGCCACGAAATCTGGGCGCCATCTCCAAAGCGCTGCGCCTGTCACGCAGATTGAGCCCCCGAGCCGCGCGCTCGACAACATCCAGTCCAGTCCCTTTAGACACCTACCAAATGCTGCCCCTGCCACGCAAACACACACCCAGATGCAGAAAATACTGCGCCTGCCACGAAATTTGCAAGCCATCTCCAAAGTGCTGCGCCTGTCACGCAGATTGAGCCCCCGAGCCGCGCGCTCGACAACATCCAGCCCCTTTAGACAGCTACCAAATGCTGCCCCTGTCACGAAAACACACCTCCAGATGCAGAAAAAACTGCGCCTGCCACGAAATTTGCAAGCCATCTCCAAAGTGCTGCGCCTGTGACGCAGATTGAGCCCCCGAGCCGCGCGCTCGACAACATCCAGTCCCTTTAGACACCTACCAAATGCTGCCCCTGCCACGCAAACACACACCCAAATGCAGAAAATACTGCGCCTGCCGCGAAATCTGGGCGCACTCTCCAAAGTGCTGCGCCTGTCACGCAGATTGAGCCCCCGAGCCGCGCGCTTCACAACATCCAGTCCCTTTAGACACCTACCAAATGCTGCCCCTGCACGCAAACACACACCCAGATGCAGAAAATACTGCGCCTGCCACGAAATCTGTGCGCCATCTCCAAAGTGCTGCGCCTGTCACGCAGATTGAGCCCCCGAGCCGCGCGCTCGACAACATCCAGTCCCTTTAGACAGCTACCAAATGCTGCCCCTGCCACGCAAACACACACCCAGATGCAGAAAATACTGCGCCTGCCACGAAACTTGCAAGCCATCTCCAAAGTGCTGCGCCTGTCACGCAGATTGAGCCCCCGAGCCGCGCGCTCGACAACATCCAGTCCCTTTAGACACCTACCAAATGCTGCCCCTGCCACGCAAACACACACCCAGATGCAGAAAATACTGCGCCTGCCACGAAATCTGTGCGCCATCTCCAAAGTGCTGCGCCTGTCACGCAGATTGAGCCCCCGAGCCGCGCGCTCGAAGACATCCAGTCCCTTTAGACAGCAACCAAATGCTGCCCCTGCCACGCAAATCTCCCAAATGCTGCTCCTGTGAGTGAATGAGTGAGTGTGAGTGAGTGTGAGTGAGTGAGTGAGTGTGTGTGAGTGAGTGTGTGTGTGAGTGAGTGAGTGTGTGTGACTGAGTGTGTGTGAGTCAGTGTGTGTGAGTGAGTGTGTGTGAGTGAGTGACTTTGTGCGGGTGAGTGAGTGAGTGTGTGTGAGTGAGTGTGTGTGAGTGAGTGTGAGACAGTGAGTGAGTGGGCGGCGGGGCCGGGCGGCGGACGGCGGGGCCGGACGGCGGACGGCGGGCGCGGAGCGGTAAAAGTAAGAACCCCACACAAAGATGTGGGGAATAATTGACAGTAGTTTTTCTAACTACGGTCGTTTTTGGGAAAATTCAATCTACTGCCCCTGGGCAGTAGTCGGA